ATCACTTTATAGTAAAAACCTTCCAGTTGGTTCCCAAGATCTAGAAAATGATCCAGTATTACATATTTCTACAGTAAGAGCCCTGATACATCAAAGTAAGAGCACTGTTAGATGTTTAGGATAATTACCCTAAATTATCCCAGTATAGTAGATGAAAAGATGACCAGACAAGATAAATAAAATATGTAAAGGTTGTAAGAACGCAACTTAAGAACTGTATTATGGGAGGCTGTAGTACTGTAGGTCACATCGTGATGGTGACTTCTGTTCCGTTATGAATGTAGTGAGTTTTGTCATAGTGAAAATCTTTTCAGAACTGTGAAAAACAGGTATGAAACCATATGCTTCATTACAGAGAGCATTCAGAAATTGTGTGTGCACAAATTGAGGGAAGGGAGCTTCGCTCAAGGATGCAACAGCAGTGTCCAACTCAGAATATGACCCCAGAGTTTCCCATTTTGAGCCCAGAGCCCTGACACTCTTCCACAGTGATGCTCCTATGCAGGTGTGTAATTGATTTGGTAGAACGTTATGTAAAGGAGAACAAGCTTTATTTTTCTTTTGGTCGAGCCAGAATTTTCCTGTAACGAACTGTCTAACACCAGACGAAAGGGGAATGGGACACTAGGCAGCAGTTAGCTACGATGGTTTTTCTCTACAAATGCTGTTGTTTAATACATAATGTACTCATTACAGAACATCTGGAGTTACGAAACCACATTACTTTTTGCAGGGCCAAGGCCTGGGAAAACTTTCCTCTGTTTATGGAAGGCTGATAACAGAGTCAAAGCCCACTGTGAATTTATCTCGGGGCCTACCCTCTCCAAGACGTTTATTTCCTTCTTACGTTTTGCTCCATCTCCTTGAATGCCAGATGTGCAGTGCTTTTCCAGGAATTTCCATCGGTGCCTAAATGCAGTGTCTAAAATCTGTACAAGAGCCTCGTAATAAAAGTTTATGTATTGGTCTGTACAGGCCCAGAATAGAATTCTGTTTTATAAGCAGCTGCAGGGGCTGAGCAGCAGAAAGATTTCACTCCTCTGGCCTGTCTGTGCTCCTTGTTTTCAAGGAAGATGAGACCTGCCCTTGGATAAGGTATTAACAAGACGGGATATAGTGTGTGTGGAATCCCTGGATACCAGGAGTGTCTGGGAGACAACAGGCTACTGTTTTGGGAGCAAACACTTCTCCTAGAACTGTTCAGTGGTCAGGCTGTGGCTGTGCAACATGTCTCAGTGTTAAAGACTGTTGCTGATCTAGAAACTTGGGGTTTATGCACAGCTGCATGGGTTCAGTAACTTACTGTACCAGACCATTTCTCTTTATAAGCCTATCTGAGTGTGTTGTGCAGTCTTCATGAAGACATTTTTTTATATTTTATCCCTTGATTATATGCGAGAACAAAGAAAATTAATGCCGTGTAAGCTGCATTGATCCCTGCTTCTAATTTAAACACTGTAAAACCAGCTCCAAATGAACCTTCCCTCATGTTCTATAATAATAATTTTATTTAATTTGAAAATCCATCATAATTGACTATATTCTGTATATATGGCAACATTTTCTAATGCACCTCCTGACTAGGTTTACATATTCTGGGCCAGTAATCATGGGAACAGGGGAAACCTGTTTGCCTCCAATTGCAAATACTTGTGAAACAATATTCGTGTGTTTTTCTGAAAAATCCAATTTTCCAATTTAATTGATGTGTCTGTGAAACTGTTGTTCTCAAATATAATCAGAATATAACCCCGTGGGCAATGCGAGGTCCCTGGCGTATAATACAGCGTAACTGGGCAAAAGACACTATAAGGTGAAGAGGGAAAGTCAAACTCTCAGGTAAGACATGAGAAGACTTGCAGTCTTGGGTTTTCCAGTGAACAATTAAATGAACAATTAAATGAATACTGGCCTTCATTGCAATGACTAAGACTTTAGAGAACAGAAAGAGTCTACATACTTCTACAAATGCACCAAGCTCCATCTTCAATTCCAAACTCAGTTCTCTGAACTCTTTCTGACCAAATGTATATTTTCAATCTGGAAGGATTAATGATACAACTTCAAAAAAGCATTTTGAACTCAACAGCGTTTTTGTCTCTAAGCACTGTGCCAGTGTTTTTCCAAGAGCTGATTGTTTCTTTGTTTGATCATCAAGTTGTATCTTCAAGCAAAGGATCCCTTTTTCCTAGCAAAGGTTAGACAGTGGAGGAACCACATGGCTCTCGAGATTCAAACACTTGTTCTCAAACATGATCAGAATAAATCAGTATCACCATGGTCGTTGGTAAAGAAACCACATGACAAGCCAAGCTGTAGGCTGCTTCTTCGGAATCAGAAGTCAGTGTTTGCCCCTGAGGTTTAGACTACCTTCTGTGCAGCTGATAACAATAATGAAGTTTATTTTTCATGCTTTTTAAATGACCCCACACATTTTCAACAAAGCACCACAACTTCCTCTCGACACACAGATCTTGATCGCTAATGGAAGTCTTGCGCTTCTGACTGATCTGCTCATTCCCACACCCCAGAATAATCAGCCTCACTTCACAGGCGGCAGAGGTGTCAGAATGGAAGAACACCAAGTGAAGGATGGAGCTATGGGAGATTGCAGCATTAATCTGCAATCAATTGTTCGAAAATAGCACTGGGACAAAGGCTGTTTTGATTATCTCTGCACTAAGGCAAGCTTACCTAAGAGAAAGTGCAACTCATACCGGGAGGGAGATGGTAGCAGGGTGTGAGAGGAGCTTTCAGAAGTTTAGGAAAGGCTGATTTCAAACAGAACAGTCAGTTTATCAGGAAGTGTATTGAACGGACCACTAGTTCATTCGGGCATGATCTGTGGACTGGACCAAGTCACAGGTTAAGCTTTTAGAGACATGGAAGCTTATTTTTAAAATAAACAACACAGAGATATTTTACAGTTGTGATACATTTCTGGACACCTGTCAAATTCCTATTAAACTGGGGTAAGAGGAATGCTAACATTGCATTGGGAAAGGAAGTCGATATTTTCATTCATCAAAATACTTAGCCAAAACATTGACAAACTTGAATCCTTCCAAAGATAATCTACAGCAATTCCTGATAGTTTCTCTGGTTTCTTCCATGATATCTCTTTCCTGAAAAGATCAATCTGGGAGGTGTGATCGTCAATATGCTCATAACAGAGAGCCCACATGAAAAATCCAAAATGAGATTAAAATCTTCAGTACAGCTGTCGGCCTTGCCAAGTTCAGCTATTTCTCCTGCTGAGAACTTTGCTATTTTAAAGAATGGGGATCACATGTTGTGGAAGAAGAAAGCTAAAGCTATTTTTCTGCTCACTTAGGCAAAACTTTGTGTCAACGAGAAATTCTTTAGGATCACAAGGAACCAGGAGATGGAACCTGAGATTAATACAAATTTCTTACACTCATTTGTGCTTTTCTGGATACTCCACTCAAAGCGCTTTACAGGTAATGGGGATTCCCTCTACCCCCAGCAGTGTGCAGCCCCACCTGAATGATACAACAGCAGCTATAGTGTGCCAGTACACTGACCCCACACCAGTTCTCAGAGGGGTGGAGAGCAGAGTAATGAAGCCAGTTCAGAGATGGGGGTTATTAGGAGGCCATGACCATGACTGGTGAAGGCCAGAGGGACATTTGGGCAGGATGCCAGGGTAACACCCCCACTCTTTATGAGAAACACCCTGGGATATTTAATGACCAGAGAGAGTCAGGACCTCGGTTTTACATCTCCTTAGAAGGATGGTGCCTTTTTTACAGTAGAGTGTTCCCATCACTATACTGGGGCATTAGGACTTCACCATCAATGCACATACACCACCCTTAGCCCACCCAAACACCCCCAGTTCTGCATCAGTTTATGCATCAGCCTCCACTGAAAATCCACTCATGCTCCTGCTACTGATCCAGAGCTATGGGAACAGACTCCCGCTGATAAAAGACACAATGTGTAAGACACTGATAGCGCTAAACGCTGAAAACCTTATTTCTGCTCTGTGCAACACCTGCGGGTTTAAGGGGCCACAGTAAGGCTCTCCAGGGAAGGTTCTTCCATCTGAAACAGCAGGAAGGCACTTATTTGTGTCTAGTGGCCTGTTTTGGTTGGAGACCCCATGATGAATGAATCCAGCTCAGCATGCCCACCTTGGCTGCAGAGCCGGACACTCACACTGCTTTCGTTTGTCCACAGACCAGAGGAATCGAAAAACAGGCTGCCAATGCAGAGTCTTCTCGCCCTTTGACAGAGACCACTATTGATAACGTGCCCAGTCAAGCACCGTGGACACAATCCAAGCTGAGTGGCACCTTCCCAGTTCCAAGCTCTGCCATGTCTGGTCAGTGGATTTCTGCTCTAGAAAGAGGACCCAGTCAGTCGGGGACACCAGTGGACATGCACGGATTACAAATCAAGGTCTTTCACACGGAGGCTGTACTGAGGCTACAGCACAACACCTATGCTCAGCCTGATATAATTCAATATGCCCCTGATACAGTTCAATATGTTAGTGCACCATAGAGATGACTGTCAGAAAAAAAAGCCTTTTGGAGAATCTGGACAGTCAAAGTTTCATTCTGTTTTTTTTTTTGTGGGATTGCAGCAGGAAGTGATGTTTCATATTGGGTAAATATTTTTGTAGTTTTCCCCATTTAAAAATAAATAAATAAAATGTGTAGAGTCATGAGGTGTTGTTTCACCTGTCTATAAAACGTAAATAAAATGATGTGCGATTCCTGCTCTTCATTATTGTTTTTCAAAGATTTTTGCAAAAAAGTAAATAATTTCCATCTTTCAATGGTATTTAAAGTATTCGTTGTAAAGACAGTCTCCAAATAAATGCCAAAGTACGTGAGTCTGTACATATTAATGCACGTTTAAACTTTTGAAGTAAGAATAATATAAGTATGATATTCTTATTTCATTCTATATATCTGTGTGTTTAATATACTGTATCTTAAGTTTGTAATCCTTACAGGTCTTCTATTTAATTTAATGTGGACTCGTAGAATTCGATTCCAAGCGTTAAATTAGTCAAATAGCTAAATTACAACACCAAGTAAACGCAGAAAGCAGAAAGATTGAGTTGTGACAGCGAGCCGATTAAAGATAAAATGAATGGGAGCATTGATGATGATGGCAAGCTCTGAAGTAGATCCGATCCGTGATGTCAGAAGTCAGTAATTGGTGAAATTCAACACCAACTGGTACTGGAGATGAATACGGCTCCCCTCGCAACATTGCAAGTTAAGGCATCTGTACAATCCACAGCCTGGAGCTACGGCACAGAGCGCAAACTGGAGCTGACTGATCGCAGGGGACCTCGCTTTGGCGTTCACCGCGTTGAGCCTAATACGGGAATCCTCATTGCCGCTCTGTAAATAGACCTCCAAGCACTGCAACCTGCGCGACACGGCGGTCCGTGTGCGAGCGAGTTATACTGGCATGTTTCTCGGGAAAAACGACATTCCGTGTTTCACAGCAGAAGCGTGAAGAACCGGGCTGTAAAGAGACGCCGCTCAGAGACAGCGGAGATCTCGGCGATCCTGCAGCCCCTTGCAATGTGGCGGTTCTGAGGTCGCAGCCCTAGACGAAGCTAGGCGTCCTCTGCTGTGTGAGCTAGGGGCCAGTCCATGAACCGGAATCTTCTGGCGTGAAATTCTGTTTTCACTTAGAACTCTGCTGCTTGGACAAATGCATACAAATGCATTTAGGAGCCCAACGGACAAGGAGTGGAAACATTTCTCCCACCGCGAAAACGTAAGTACAACCACTGTGTGCTGAACAAACTTAATTCACTACAGAAAGATCGAGCGAGCTGCGGGGAAATGCGATCACTAAGTGTTCAAACGTGTTCCTACTCATTTTCCCCTTTTATGCTGAGCCCTAATTCCAGACATACTCTACAAGCGCATTGCTGAGACAGTTTATGTTAAAGCGATCATGCGGTGTGTTGGGGTTAGTAAGTTGGCACCTTTCCATAGTCACATAAAACAGACTACATGTTTGGCATATAAAGGTTTTCCTGCTCTGAGCAGTGGAAACGCCGTGACAGGAATAGAAACAATCCATCTGCGCTTTGTGACTCCTTCGGTCATCGTGTCGTGTCCTCGGATACTTGCAGACAGATATAGACAGACCTTGCAGTAAACACAGGGCAGGACAGTCTCAAGAGTGACCCCGGTGCTTCACCTGCCGAGCGGTCAGACAGCAGCGCACGACCTGGAGCCGGAAATCCAGTGGGCTCGGGCAATGACAAATCACTCACTTGATCAGTTTCATAACACTCCATAAAATGCTTTTTGTATGTTGCTGGAATTTTTTCCCTATCGTTTCTGGAAACAAAAAGGGAAGAAGGAGGCTGTCAAAAGGATGGAGCGGCAAAAGTCCCGGTTTCTCATTTAAAATTTTACATTTTATAAAAAATAAACGGGCGAACCCCCGGGTCTGCGTTCCACGTCAGCACGCGGTGGTGTCAGATAGTTATCAACACCAAAAAAAAAAACACGTTTTTCATCTGTAAAAGAAAATTATCAGAGCACTCACACAAGTAAGTCGAGGCATCTGCTACGAACAGTTGGCCTTCTGTAAGACAGTATGTAAAAGATCCGAAGATAGCAAAGACTATAATACCAGTTTTTATTTTTTCAAAGGGATTAACAGTCATGTGTGGAGTATTTCTAACAGTGCCCTACAAGAGAATGTGACATCATAGTACAAGTATGCGTAAAAACACAGTTATCACCTACAGTATGATGCACTAATAATACCTTTCTTAATGACAGCTATTGTTACATATCCACAAGGTTTTCCTGACAAGAGTCTGCATTGAAAGGTCGCCAGTCGGCTGCAGTTACAGCTTTTGGTTTAAATTTTATGTTGTAGCCCGGGGCTGTGTGATATTTAGGGAATTTAAAACGATGATGCCACCTCCTGTTCCAATTTCCTTAATTACAATCCAGGGGTGTAGCAGGCGGTTTGGTTGTTTCCATTAACTGTAGATGTTTTGAAAACATTGTAAAATCCGTTAGTTGTTATGCATTGCATAGAAGCCAATCGGATAAAATGTATTCATATTCTAATAAATACAAGGTGAATCCGCACAACACATCTTTCTTGTCAAAAAAACTGAAATCTCTTATGAAGCCCCAAAAAATGCTTTCAACAAAATGAATACATTTTAAGTCGTTTTCTTTGATGCTGTTTCAGCACGGCAAAACCCTTTGCACATCATGAGGGTCAGTGTTGACTTTTTTCGCAGCCACTTAATTTTGTAATTCGTCAAATTCCCATGTGTAATGTTTGTGAGCGCGGAGCAGTAAGTGCACATTTGAGAAGAACCGTCCAACTGCGCGCTGAATTCCTCGCGGTGTGGGACGTAATTGAGACCAGATGATCACTCCAGAATCGCATGAAACGCGAAACAACTGAAGAGGTGTTATGAAAAAAAACGTCCATTAATTCTACAGTTCAGCTTAGAATTCAAATGTATTTAGTCTGGCAGGTTTGTAGGACTTGAAGTGAAGAATGGTACTGCGTTTAAAGCAGACTGCACTCTATTTTAACACTATATTTTAGTCCTCATTGCTTTTGTATTTCCCTGTAACATGCAAGCCATTTTAAATTTTAAATAGGAGTGAAGTCTGTTGAATATCTGCGAGGAAATTTAACTTATAACAACGGAAATTAAATAAATACCCACCATCCCACACATAGGCGAGGGATAGCGTATACAGTATACAGTGGCAGGCGGCTTCTGCTCTGCTGTTACAGCACAGTACATGCGTTACAGTAACAGTACAACCCGCTGCACGAAAACTCAAATACTAGGCAAGCCTGCGAAACCTACAGTTCACGGGGAAATACTGTACTGCGGAAATGGTCTGCTTTAGCATTGAAACAGATGGAAGGCAGAGTTTTTGCATAGTAAAACGTGTGCTCCTTTATGCCGACGCTCTCTGAACGACATTGTAATGAGACAGATAATCTCTGTTGTTAAGCTTTACTGATCTTTGAGTTGTTTAGTAGAGTTTGAAGTAGTAAAAATGTTTACAACTTAAAGAAGATCATTTGTCCAATCTCTTTTGGTTGATAATAACTAATTGAACTACTTGATCTGAGGATCTTATTTAGTCATTCTGTGAAACAAACTAGACTGGACAACATGGTTTTGTAGCTGTTTCCTCCCTTCCACACCTCTTTGTGTAAAAAGGCTTCATACTGCACTCACAGACTATATCAACCTGAACATGTAGCAATTAAAAATTTTGAACGTTTTTTTTCACAAGACCGATTTTATTTTTTGTTGCTAAATCATCTTGTACAGAGAGACACATAAGTAGCTTCACTATTATCAAGTGAATGGCTGAATCCAGGTGTATGCTAATTAAGTTTCCCTGCAGCCTGCCAATGTGCTTTTGCACCCTGGGGTGGTGTTCCGCAGTATCAAGCATAATGCCGTCTAATAAAAATTGCTTTTAGAGTGTTATGACATCGTCCGTAAGTAGCAAGCATATCATTAAAGTGAACTTCACAGATGTGTAAAGATACTTGTGAACTTTTGTTGCTCTGATGTTTCCCAGCTCATCAGGGCTCAAACACTGCTGTCTGTGCTACTCTGGAAACTGTGTCTGCACTGTATTTTGTCCAACTTCAGATCCGTGGAAGCTTTTAACCCTGGAGTGATAAGATCTTCTTCATGTGTGAATTATTGTTCATGCTATAGCTAGTGTTTGACTCAAATCCCACAAAGCTTCTGGGTATCTTATCTCTATTGGTTAACTGGACAGTTCATTATGAAAGTTCACAAGTTTGATAGGAGCTAAAGGGAACAAGAGTTTGTGACTTAGGAAATTCTCCCAGCTCCATAATGGAGATAAGAGAAGAGTTCCAATGTGCAGCAGAGAGCCATTTTTATTATTGCAGGATCTTGAAAGCTCTCTGCTGGACAACTAGGCTTATGCACAAGACCCTGAAGTTTTATTTGTGTGTCCTCAGGATCTTAACTCACTGAGGAAAGGAAGACTTGAAGTACAGTGTAGACCTTAGGAAACTCATTACTCCAAAGCAAATATTTACATAATTAAGGAAGAATGTTAATTAGATCATCAATGGGATTAAAGTAGTTACACATTAAATAAGGGAGCTGTTTTAATTGCACATACCGTAGCTTGCTCGAAATAAATATGGAATTACTTTATTTTTGGATTTTTATGTACAGTATTTATGACTGTGTTTGTTAGCGTCACACCTGCAAGTCTTCCTATGGACAGGAAGCCAATCAGTCTCAGTGTGAGTTTCCTCCCAGTGCTTTCTCTGCTGTCTGTCGTGTGGTCAAAGCAAATCTTTACTTAAGGCAGAAATGACCTCTTGACTCTGTGACAAATCAGAGCAGTTTTGCTAAGGACGGAAGTGCAATTAGCCAGCTTGAGTGTGTGCTGGGGTGATTCACATCGACAGGGAGCTCTGCAGTGATCAGTAAAGGTGCACAAGGATGTCTAATGTGCCTCCTAATCTGTTTTCATGGTAGAGTAGTTTTATTCAGTACCTCTTAATGAGTCCATCTTCTGAGAGTGGGTGTAAAACCCTTAACAGCTGTGGATGGGAAGAGTTTTAGGGGTTTTTGTGATGTAATTGGCCTTGGCTTTCAGCCAGCGAAGAAGCTCTCCGCTGTGTTGGGAGCAAGGAAGAGGGAGACACTGGGAGAAGTCTATGGGGGGAATTATAATTGGTTTAGTCAATGTACTGTATGTGCAACACTATTGTAGGTCTCAGGCTGGAATTGTAGCAGCCAAGATCAATGAATTGTTGTGGATTTTCCTGCCACACATTTAGGTCTGTGTTACTTTACAATAAAGGCACTAATGACAAAGATGTCTAAAAATGGTAAAATAACATTTGGCAGAATAGGAAAGACAGATGTACTCCACAGAGAGACTGGCTCGTGTAGTTTTTAGTGTGTTTAGGACTGAAACACTCTGAAACAACTGTCTGAAACAGTCCACTCTGTGTAGCTGGTTTAGGCTGGTACTCCGGTCATCTGTGTGTCGTTACAGGCATCTGAACTGCTGTGCCTGAAAAGAAGGTTTCGATTTAAATGTCTCGTTTCCTCAAAAAGCCGCTGTCCGCAAAGTGTTGCTATCGTTTAGTGGGTGTTAAGAACATAAGAACAGTTACAAACGATTGGAGGTCACATGGTACAGCTAGTTTGGTAGTTGGTAGTAGATTGATCCAGGAATCTAATCCAGCTGTTTCTCAAGAGAAACCAGGGTATCGGCTTCTACAACATGACTGGCCAGCTTATTCCAGACTGACAACCCTGAGTGGTATTTTCATATGTATTGTTCTCAATCGTGGAAGCTGAAGGAATAATTAATCGTGTGATGAACGTTTTAAGAACATAAGACAGGTAACAGGCAAGAGGACGTCTCTCCCAGGAAAGGGGTCCTGTTGGAACGACACTGTGCATTGCAACACCCAGCTTGTACGCACCCTGCACAAGCAGGCGTCTCTCTCTGGCCAGCTCATCGTCTCTCCAGGCCTCTGTAAAGGCCCCAGTGCAGTCTGTCTGCTTGACCGGGTGCACTGTAGTACAATCCTCTTCCGTCTGTGCAGTTCTGAGGCTGACGTGACCATAGCTGAGGTGCACAGTTCAGTTCTGCCCCCTCCTGCCTTAAGCCAGGCGGCGGTGCTTGTTTGACCAGGCCTCCTGTCTTTGAGGTGTTAGCCAGCCATTTTTAGGGTCACCTAGCCCGGTACAG